TGATATTGAAGAATATAGTGCTAATTACATGCAACTGACCTCTGCTGGGTTAATTAAACATTCACCCCAAAAATCTATGGAACTAATCTAATTAACAATTAATACAGCTGTCGTTATCTATTGTACTTACTTTTAAGTGATGCTAATTCTCACCAAGGACCCAATCCTGGAAACTCTCCACAGGCTAAATTCCCATTTACTTCAATAGTACTTCTGCACACAGAGGATTTACAAGATTGGGATTTAGGCACTTCACTCAGTGGCCCAACTACTACAGTACATATCCTCAGTATTGCCAACCCAAAGGTTTCATTAAAATATTATGAGTCATCTCCCTCCAAATCATGAGTTGGATAAAAAATTGACCTTTAAAAAAATGAGATTTGAAAGTCTCATGTGTTCACATGACTCCAGGAGCTGGGGCTTTAAAAGAAAACACCAGTTACTCTTAAATTCACAATAACATTGTAAGAGTTAGTGACACTATGACAATGGCTTGATGACACTGTGATTTTCTTAGCATTTTGCTGAAAGGGAATAGTGATGCTTTGTTTAATTTGAGGAAATAACTTTTCTTCTCTGAACTTGATTCAAAATGAACACTCAAGAAAATTTGCACAGCTGTTTTTGAGCCCTTAAGATGCATTGGAATCACATCCACTTGATTTTTCTTCAACAAAAAGGGTTAGACACTTTAAAAAAATGAGATTTGAAAGTCTCATGTGTTCACATGACTCCAGGAGCTGGGGCTTTAAAAGAAAACACCAGTTACTCTTAAATTCACAATAACATTGTAAGAGTTAGTGACACTATGACAATGGCTTGATGACACTGTGATTTTCTTAGCATTTTGCTGAAAGGGAATAGTGATGCTTTGTTTAATTTGAGGAAATAACTTTTCTTCTCTGAACTTGATTCAAAATGAACACTCAAGAAAATTTGCACAGCTACAATGTTGCATGGTAAGCTAAAAGGGGTGCAGAGGTGTGCCCTGGTCACCAAAAACCTGGGAATTCACTCTTTGCTAAGGTTTCCCACGACTAAACAGCATGGCTATGTCTAGACTGCAAGCAATACTTTCGAAAAAGCAAGCCGCTTTTTCAAAAGAAAGCAGCGAGTGAGTCTGGATGCTCTCTTTCTAAAAAGCCCTGTTGGCATTCAAGAACGCCTTTTTTCGAAAGAGCACTTTTGAAAAAAGGCGTTCTTCCTCGTGAAATGAGGTTTACCGCCGTCGAAAGAAAAGCCGCGTTCTTTCGATTTAATTTCGAAAGAACGTGGCTGCAGTCTAGATGCAGGTGATGTTTTTTCGAAAAAAGGCTACTTTTTTCGAAAAAACCCCTGAGTCTGGACACAGCCCATGTGGAATAATAAAGAAACAGGGCTGGGGACAGAAGGCATAGTCAGATGCTCAGAGGGAATGTGGGAATTCATACAATACAGCTAGCTGGGAAACAATGGTGAGTCCTGTGAAAAGTCAAAGCCTATATACCCAGCACTATTTCTTGTTATGGAAAAGCATTTCTTCCTTTTATTGGATCCTGTGCCTACTAAAGCTCACAAATGAATCCCTGGAGAAAACACTTGTGGTGATGAGACTTAATGGCAGACTGCTGGCTTGCTTTCCCTGCATACACCTTAACAAAGTTGGTAACCATTATAAAACTCAGATGTAAAGTGTAAAATAAAAATGTTATTAGGAACAATGCATTTTAAACAGAGATCATGAACTTTTATCCCTTTATATATTGCTAGTAAGAGCTATACCATCCAATAGGTCCATTCATATATATAAATGGCCTGACACCATTAATACATTGAAGTCCCTGGTGCAAAAGGAGAGAGAGGAAAGTTTTCCATCTGGTAGACACTTTTTTATTATGATTTGAGTAAACTGACTCTTTAAAAGCTGTTTCATACACACTGAAGGATAATTACACACAAATTATGGGGCTGACTATAATATGCACAAACCACTGCTACAAATCTGATCCAGGATCAGCAGTTGAGAGGTCATTCAAACACAATTTTTATAAATATGCATTCACAAGAGCTGTCGTTCAAGGACATGGTATTAATTTTTGCAAAGATAAGATTTGCGAAAGCAGTGCAGTATGTGTATAAATGAACTAACTAGTACAGGATGGAGATTGGCTGAATTACTTCTGATTTCCACGATCCAGCAGTGAGCTGTTGGCAAGGCAGCAGCAAAAGGTCAAATCAGAAGATCTAAGAATAACACCTGAACAGCCTGCCTGGCAGTCCCAAGAAAATCAGGGAGTGTTGGAAATTGGATGAAATCTAGTGTTTGGGAAAGCAGCTACAGGAAGGCTGGCTGGCAAGCAAGGCAGGACTGCAAGAAGCAGCAGGAAGAAGAGAAGCCAAAAGTTGGACTTAGAGCTATGAGTGCTGAGTGAGCCAGGATTAGTATCAGGTCTGACCTACATGGGAAAGTTTTACTAGTTATACAGCCACTGGGGATGCATCTAGACTGGCAAGATTTTGCGCAAAAGAAGCTGCTTTTGCACAAAAACTTGCCAGCTGTCTACACTGCCGCTTGAATTTGCGCAAGAGCACTGACTTTGTAATGTACAAAATCAGTGCTTCTTGCGCAAATACTTTCACGCTCCCGCTCGGGAAAAAGTCCTCTTGCGCAAGAATACTTGCTAAAGAGGGCCAGTGTAGACAGGGAAGAATTGTTTTGCACAAAAAAGCCCCGATGGCTAAAATGGCGATCGGGGCTTTCTTGCGCAAAATCGCGTCTAGAATGGCTATGGATGCTTTTGCGCAAAAGCACTTTTTCTAGAAAAGCATCCGTGCCAATCTATACGCACTTTTGTGGAAATACTTTTAACAGAAACACTTTTCTGTTAAAAGTATTTCCGCAAAATCATGCCAGTCTACACGCAGCCACATAGTATATTGTGATAATCCCTGGGACAGTCATGCCTGTAAGAATGGTTTTTTGGTTTTGCTTGAACCCCTTAACAAGCAACATAAATGAAAATGAAAAAAGTCGCTCATATCAAGTCATCCATAGTGGATCATACCTGTGTAAATTGTTTAAATCAGTTTAAAGTGATGCCTTAGGTTAGACCAGAAAAAACCTCTTCCTTATAGATAAGGCTCCAATCTCATGGTTCATACATAAATTTGTGTCTATCCCAAGACAGCTAAGGTCTCGTTATTTGTTTGTTTGTTTGTTTAATGATTAACCATTTCATTGATTTTCAGCACAGTAAGAATACACATCTAGAGCATGAAATCTTTCAGAGTAGGGAAAAGTTACTAAACACAATCCGTATCACAAGTAAAGATTATTGGGTCTGATGGCAAAGTCCTTTTATTAAACATAGATATAGAAGTATAGTAAAAATATTTTCAGATAGAAATATTAGAAATAAACTAGAGTTCATTATGTCTGTTGCAGATAATTTTCCTCAGAACTATCAAAGCACAATACCAGTTCTCCAGTTCTGGGGGAATAGCAGCTTTCTATCAACACAGGATAATTGACTACTATCTGCAACGTCCAAAGTAGCCTTTTGGTCAGTTAGCTCTAGAAATGTAAGGAATATTCACAGCAGCAACAGCAAGAATAGAAGGCACAGAGAAATATAGGGAATCAAAGTGATTCAGGCATGTGCTTCCTACTTCCAAGGTTTTTATTAAGGACCTGATCTTGGCTCATCATAGTTTTACATTGGTATTGTTCCGCTGACTTCAGTTTTCTGATTTATATTAGTGTGAGATCCAAATCAGACCCTAAATCATTCACAGAATGAGTCATAGTTAAAGCACTTTATTTAAAATAAATGTTAGTTATACAATTCAAACTTATTTATTTTACAAAAATAGCAAAACAATTAGTCCCAACCATTATACATATAGTATATTGCTTATGCAAATTCCTAACATTTTGTAAGTCACCTTTCATTGAATGGGTTCATGTAGCGAGTGAACATATTGAAATGATCACATTGCAGGGAAAATCCTATAAATTGCCTCTATAGAAATGACAATGAAGTACACACAACAACATACCATTCCACCTTGTCATATTAGCTTATATTTTCACAGTAGTCTAACTCAATTTTAAGAAACATCTTGGGTCATTTAAAGTTATTCTGATGGCCTTATTCATTTGATTAATATCTTACTCTGTTGATTGTCCCATTGTTAGATACTACTAACATGAATAAGGACAGCAAAAGCAGTCCCTAAATTAATATTTACTCTTATGTCACTCCCATCTGGTTATTGAGCTCACTTCAGTATCACCAGAAAGTTTTTCAGTATAAACATTTCAACAGGTAGGAAATTGCTTCATGCTTTCTAACATTTTAAAATATTCTGTTGTTAGAAGTATTCATTAGACAAAGATTCTTTCTTTTTGTGTAATAGTAATAATAAAGAGAATCTGATTCTCCTCTTATACCAGTGTAAATCAGGACTGACTCCTTAGAAGTCAGTGGAATTACATGATTAGATCAAAATCTGGCTCTTCGTGCCCATTTTCAAAACATTTTATAAATATCATTTAATCATAATCTTCATGGTTCAGGAAGTATAGTCACAATCAATTTAATTATTAGTTTTAGATTCTTCAGCATTTTAGTGTTATGTCTTAACTTTATCTCACTTTCAACCCTGTTTATGCTATGGATATTTCTCAAAGATTTCCCACCACTGCTAATGTTGCAACACATAAGGTCACCAATTGCTGGCAACATTTTAAATAGATTCTCAGAAAATGCCAGTTGCTTTTAAGGGAAAGTTTTGTTAATCAAAAAAACAGACAATTTTGACCAAAATGGAAATCTGCAGAAAAAAAAATGTTATGTTGAAAAGTCCCTTTTCAATTAAAAAAAAAGTGCATCAATGAAAATATTTAGACTAGATCTAACAAATTACATGGTTGCTTAGACTTAGGCTTTGTATTCAGTGCAAAAAAAGTGTGTTTTTACATTGTTAGCTAACTGAAGCTCACCATCCCCTTCAGTGCAAAAAAAGTGTGTTTTTACATTGAGTTAGCTAACTGAAGATCACCATCCCAGTGTAAAATCCTAGTGGAGACACGGCACTGTAATTTTACCTCTATACAGCTAGTTAAGGTTAATCCCACAAGGGGTTAACCTTGACTAGCTACATCACAGTAATAAATACCTGTGTTGTTATTCCCCTTTTACATCGAGTTAGCTATTTCAATGTAAAAAACACACCTTTTTGGCAGAGAAAAGTCAGGCTCTGAGCAGATCTAATCAACATGGTATTTAAAACAGTGTTGGAAGATTTGGGCTTGGATAGGCTCAGGATCTCAACATTGCTCACACCAGTGGAACTGACGCAGGATAGCAAGAGTAGCAGGCCTGGCCAAAGGGTTTGCAGGACCCAAGGCAAGACGCTGGGAGCGGGGCCCCAGGCCTGGTAGGTGGATGGTGAATACTAAGCAGTGCAGGGCTCTGACAGTATAGGGCCCAAGGCATTTGCCTGGCTCACCTTGCCCTAGGGCTGGGCCTGAAGAATAGAACATTTTGAAGAGATTAAACTTCCACACCCTGATCCCCCTCTCCCTCTCTTTCACACAGAGAAACATATTATATATTTCAGGTAACATAATACATGATAACATAATACCCTGACTAAAATCATAGTTATATTTCCTTGCAGGTGGTAATTATTACGGAGTTTAAAGGAGCTTTTGAGTAGATTAATTGTGCTCAGGTACATTTGAATTCAAGTCTGAATGTAGAGGTCCTATTTCAGAATTTTTATGCTTCTGAATCTCACACTTGCATTCCTCTATAATCATGACCACCTTAACAACAGCAACAGACATGGTGCAGTTCAGCTCCAAGGATTTCATGGTAAACTTGATAGGCAAGCAGTGGGAACAAAAAGTGTAAAGACCATCTTCTGGGCCAGGGACATGAAAGGAACTACACTTCCCAAAGCACAAGTTGTTTTCCACCACCACTTTTTCACAGTTCTCATGCACAATACTCTGAAACAACAAACAATTTTCAGTTACAACATAGCATTGGCATTTTAAACACTCGTTGGCCCTTATCCTCCATCCTTTGCACGTTCAAAACTCCCAGCGACTTTGCTGGAAGATGTAAACACAAAAATAATGCAAAATTGGGCTCATACAATTAATACATGAGTTTTTTCTTTTACTGTGAATTACTGTAGCATTCTCACCATTTACAAATTATTTCAAGTAACAAAATTAAAACAAAACAGTTTCTGATACAGTTATCTACTGATATTTCCCACTGACTCAGTCAGTGTTTCTATAATATATAACTTTACATTTATTTGGTTTAATGGGCCTTTATGTTTGAAAAACACCACCAAGTTTTAATCATATCTGTAATATTACACACTGGTCTATACTAGACATTATAACTTCTTAGTATATAGATTGTTTTTAACCAAAATAGTTAAAAGCCCTAGAGTGGATACAATTATACCTATATAAAGGTGCCTTATATCAGGATAGCTTATTCCACACCCCAGATAGGGTTGCCAACACTTCCGATCTGGATGCCATTGCCACAAATGTAGTTCAGTCAGGGAGAGCTGTCAAACCTAACCCAAGACTAGAATCAACTGACCTGGTATAAACACTTTTATACTGGTGTAACTTTGTCCATAGTAAGGAGAGGTTTATGCTTTAACAATTCCAGTATAGTTAAAGTGAGTTAAAGCTACACAATCTTCTAGTACAGACAAGGTTTTATTTCTCATTTTTAGCAGACCAGGATGAGAATTTGAGCTTAGCTATCAAACCACAAACAAACCCCTGTATAACTGCACTGAACCCGTCTGAAGTTTTTGCACTGAAACTGATTGTCTGAAAAACTTACTGTTCTCCCTGCTGTTAAGGCTAAATCAGGATATATGATTTGTGTTTGATTACAGATTTTAAAAAAACGCCCTTCTGCTTATTGTATACTAATTAAAACAATTCCCAGACCTGTGCTTAAACAATGTGACTCGTTGAACTTTACTAAACCTAAAGTGTTCTTTCGGGGTTTTTTTTAGTATCATGTCTCTGAAATGGCCTAGCAAGTGGAATTGATCTGTATTTCCTTAGTCAGAGATTACAGATGACACAAGAGTGAAGTCTGTGAAGGCAGAATGATAACAGCAAATACTGCTATTTGGGTCTCTTGCCTGGGACCTGGTCTTACCTGGGAAAAAGGCAGAGTCCTGCAAGTCTCCTGGTACATCTCGTTGGTCTTGATTGGCAGAACAACCTCCTCAGAAGCTGAATTTTTTTTAAACATGAAATAGTCCCAGAATTTTCTAGCATCTTTCCTATAAGGAGACTCAGCTTCCGTCCTGTTGGATGAGTGGGAAGGCAGGAAGTGTTTCATGCTTTCAGAATGAGAGGTCTCTTTTGGTACAGTCCCGCTTCTCAGATCTCGGAGCATCTCAGGCTCTACAAAAGGAAGGATAAATCTGGATGATTTTTTTTCTCCTTGCTTCTTACTCTCTGCCATCATCTCTGGAGCTACTACAAATAAGCTTGGTTCTTCTGGAATTTCTTCATAGTTCACAGGATTTTCCACCCGCATTTTACGGAGGCCCTCTCTTTCAAGGAAATTTTTATCTTGATAGGAAAAATGCTGAATTCTCCTCATCTTGTTCCTTTGCAGCTCTCTGCCTTGTACAGTTGTCCCAAGACTTGCGATCACAAGCAGCTGAAGCAGCAGAAGAAACATAATAATCTTACTTGTGTGGATTTTAACAATAAATTTCCTGCTGTTTCAGGTGAGCATAGAAAGTGGATTGTACTCTGCTAGCTTTGTAAAGGAGACTGAAGTCATTCTGTCGATGCTGTGTGTGGTGAAGAAGGGGAGTTTAAAGGGGGGGGGCTCAGGATAAGCAGTTAAACTCATTTTTTGTAGATTATAATTATGATAAGGGGATTTGTGTTAATTCAGACCATCATTTACTCCTGTTTGTGTATTAGAGAGTCCTGTCTCAAACCTGGTTCCCTGTGGGGTGATTAATTGGAAAAATGTTTGGATAAGTTGTTTAGCTGTAGTCTGGAAATGAGGAAAAGTTCTTGAATGTTTATTAGTTCACTCAACATGTACTTTATATTTTTTTCACATAGCCTTTCATACCATCACAGCAGAATCAAAAAAGGACGTCCTTTTGTGATGGAATATCAGAGATGAAAAGAAAAATAACACTAATTCAAAACATGAAGCTAGAACTATAGACTTACAGAGAGATACTTACACACATTTTCAAATGAGATGCCTAATTTAGATGCTTCACATGTTCAGATCTATCAACTAATTTAAAATGCCTTAGACATTAAGGACACGTCTACAATGAGATGCCTAATTTAGATGCTTCACACGTTCAGATCTATCAACTAATTTAAAATTCCTTAGACATTAAGGACATGTCTACACAGAAATAAGTACGCAACTTGAGCTACTTCAATTGCATAGCTTAAGTTAAAATAGCTTATTTTGGCTTTTGGCACTGTCTACACAGCAGGAAGTCCAAGTCTTCTTTTGACTTCCCTTACTCCTCATAAAATGAGGGTTACAGGAGTTGGAGTAAAACGTCCTCTAGCTCGCCATTATTTTGATATTATGTCAAAATAACTGCTTGTAGTGTAGACACGGACTAAGTTATATCGGAATAACTGAAGTTATAAGCTATTTAGACTTAAGCTATGCAATTGAAGTAGCTCAAGTTGTATATCTTATTTTGATGTTAGCCCTGCTGTGGTGACGTGCCCTTAATGTCTAAAGAATTCAAAATTACTTTTATGCAAGCTTCAGGAGTAAGAAAAAAATTGTCCTTGACAGGTATTTCCAACATGCCTATACGCTATAACACTTCTTAGTTTTGAAGATGAACTACAATACTTGACATTTTAGTACCTGTGTTTATTGTACACATCCTTGATTCCACTTGAATATCAATAAAAGTGTGAGACTGGCTTAAATCAAAGTGAATGTTAGTGTCAAAGACCTAGTTTATCATGCTAAATGCATGTCATTATTTGTCTTTCACCTCAGAGAGGCTAGTTTATTGCTCTCTAATTGGACTAAACTAATTGCCCTATAAAGTTTTTATGGGGCACTGTCTTGCAGCATTTATTGTTGCTATGTATGTGCATTACAACATCACTGATGCAAAGCTATTTCAGATTCAGACATCTTCACTGCAAGGTTAATCTGAATTATAATTCAAATGTTACCCAAATTTCTTAACCATTCACACACAAAATCCTGTAACTCAAGCATAGTGGTGGGCCCAATTTGAATTAGCCAGCCCATTAGGGCCTATAAACTTCAGTTTAAGGTAGCACAACTCATTAGTTGCAAAAGGTAATGGGAATAGCCTGTAGCTTGGGCAGAGGCTAGAGCCTCCAGAGTGTTGCTAGTCCTGAGTGCTTTTCCACAATTCCACATGTCCAGAAAAACACGTTTTGCCACAATTCACTGGGAAAATTTCGTAGCTTGCCTCTGCTTACTACAGCACAAAGCCCCATGTGATATGCCTGCAGAACTCTTACCATACACTAATGAGTGATACACTTGTGTGACCATCGCAGCTCAACTGCAGCCATGGTTGCCTGAGCTGGGCTAACTCAAATGTAGAAAAGTTAAATGAGCGCTTTAGTAAAGACATTCTATAAACGTACAATTCTAAATTTAATTTCCTATTTTTAGTGTTTAATAACTTTAACCAAAATAATGTACCAACATTTCGCTGGTGTTGTGCATGTTGAACAGTAACCATCAATTACTAAACACATTTTCTGACATTAAAAATCTTTTTTTTTTTAACAATTAGTCACTTGGCTACAGACTTGGACTAGATATATTTGTATCTTGACCAACATACTAATGTTTAAAACAGGAGACAAAAAGGAGTTTTCACCCGCACAGCAATTTTTTCACTTGTTTGGTTTAGGCTGGGATAGCCCTAAAACAGTTTGAAAATGTCAAACTTTAAGACTGGGATAGCCCTAAAACAGTTTGAAAATGTCAACCTTTAATCTATCTTATCTTGTGAACACAATTTTATGCAAATGAGTAGCCTAAAGACAATCACATGCAAGTTTGCAGGAGAACGTGTGTGTGTGTGTGTGTGATTGTGTGTCCTGAGCCAACTCCTCTTGAGGTCAACAAAAAGACGGTCAGCAAAGAACATATAAATGAGCAAAAGCAAAGTATTGCATACATGCTGTGCATTATGCTGTTTTATTGTTACAATTATTTATAGTTCAGTAGCATCTAGCGGCTCCAACTGAGATAAGGACTCCAGTGTGCTAGTCACTGTGAAGTACTTACAGACAATCCCCAGAAGTGCTTATGTTATTAAAAAAAACAAAGCAGAAAAAGAGTGTTGCAGAAACTAAACTGAAATAATCAGCTCTTTAGTAGCAGAGCTAACGGATTCATGTTACCTGAGTTCCAGGCCAGTGCATCTAGTTATTTGATTCTCTGCTAATACAATGCAGGGGTCTACGCTCAGTCCTTAATTCCTTTAGCTCCTCCCTGCAGAAGGAAATATAACTTTCCCCAGAAAATTCCAAAGAGAATATTTACAAATTTACTCCTTGAGACAACAACTGTATGGAATAACTAGTATCTGCATATATACACACACGTACATATACACATTTTTTTCTGTTTTAGTATTTGGATAATGAGTATTTTCACTCCATTTTGGATATTACATTTTGTGAGCTAAATACTGTGCTCAGATTCAAACGACTTTCACTGCATATCAATTTATTTTTCAGTGCACCACTTTACCTTGAATTAGTCACCATTAATGATCTCCAGACTTTTAAAATTAAGAGATCTACAGATGACAAGAGCTTTGTAAATGAAAATATCATTATTCATTTGCTTCAGAGGTTGGGTTTTTTCAGTAATCATGGACATAAACTGAGTAATTAGTTACAATGCCAATTGATGCCTAAACATTCTTAGTCAATGTGGGAATTATTTTCCTTCTGTTGAGCTAAATAGGGTCATCATAGTATAAATTATGAACAATATTTTTAAACTTGTAGCCAGATAAAACCTTTAAAGAACCAATTTAAAGACTTAATTAATAATGAATTACTATTTTATACTACATTCCCCAATTATAATGCATTCCAAACAAAACCCACTCTCTTTCTTTAGTTTATTGAGGTTTATTAAAAGGCAGAAAGTGTCACATATTTGCCTTTCATAAAACAGTTACAATAATTAACCAATAGGCTTCTGAGACATATAACAGGACAAAAAATTTGGTGGCTTTTACACCTTAAAATTTATATACATGACCTATTTCTGTTGTAGTGAGATTCTTTATTTGTATAACAGATTTTCATACTAATTTTATATTGTTTTTCTCAGGGGCTACGTCTATACTGGCATGATTTTCCGGAAATGCTTTTAACGGAAAAGTATTCCGTTAAAAGCATTTTCGGAAAAGCGCGTCTAGATTGGCAGGACGCTTTTCCGCAAAAGCACTTTTTGCGGAAAAGCGTCTGTGGCTAATCTAGATGTGCTTTACCGCAAAAAAGCCCTGATGGCCATTTTCGCGATCAGGGCTTTTTTGCGGAAAACAAATCTCTGCAGTCTGCACTGGCACCTTTTGCGCAAAAGTTTTTGCCCGAACGGAAGCAGCATAGTATTTCCGCAAAAACACTGACCATCTTACATGAGATCGTCAGTGCTTTTGCGGAAATTCAAGCGGCCAGTGTAGACAGCTGGCAAGTTTTTCTGGAAAAGCGGCCAGTGTAGACACAGCCAGGGTGCTTATCCTAACAGGAATAAAACCAGCATTCCAAACTGATGTCAACATTTAATTTAAAAATGTTGCCCTCTACATACAATGGAACCAATAGAATTAGTGTTTTAAATGTGTTGGTTCTTTAGTCTTGCCATATAGTAATAAAACCCAATGCTGTGGGAAAATCTACACAAAAATATTCGAGAAAGTAATATAGCTCTTAATCTACTGCAAAATAAGAGGGAAAGATGGAGAGAGGGACAACAAAAATAATTCAGAAAGAAGTTAGGAGATATGTAGAATCAATATTTATTTATAATAAATAAAATGTGTGAGATCCATTTTGTGATTCAGCATATCTGAAGTAAAGAATGAAAATGGCAAGCATTAGTGTAACCTGGGTATTGAAGCTAGTTTAGTCCTAATATCACTGTAAGAGGCTGTGCAGCATTAAAATATACGTGATTTGTTGGGACCTTTTGCTTCTGAGAAGCAAAAATGTTACTGGTGTATTAGGAAGAGGCAGTTGCCCTGAACACCTCAGTAGGCTTGGATTGTACAGAATTCACCTGATATTGTTAGCACCAGAAGAATTTATTATATTTTCTGCTAGATATCAATAAAGGAAATAGTGTGAAAATCAACATGGACAGCTTGGGATTGCTGATGCAACAAGAATCCATGAGATGACGCATGTCTAGTTCTATGTGTCCCAGCCTATTAGGCTCTGTGTGAATGTCCACATATGATAGCATCTTCTGAGAACACTTGGAGACAGAATCTATATATCATTAAACTGAGAATCTCACCCACATTCTGTATAGAGCTGGAAATCATACTAACCAGTTGATAGGTTGCTCTGGCTTACTGTGAGGTAGAAGATGAAGGGGGGAAAGCGAGGCATCTGGACTAGTTTGAGAGAAATTAAAATCTTGAAAGAATCCCTCACGTACATGAAAGATGAAAGAGAGCAGTGAAAATTCTCTAAACAATCTGAAAAAAAAGCTAGAAAATATTTCCAGCATAATCTAAGCATCTGTAAGATGATGATGCCATGGAATTATTATTATAGCAGAAGTTTTTGTTGTTGGCGTAATGGTAATGTTATAGCAAACGGTATTTTGTTATTGGTAACAGCACTAAATTTACATCAGTGATGGGCAGCCAAGAATAGTGAATTGGGGTTCCACCTGCAGCCCAGACATCTCCTGTCTCCCCCTTTCCCCATGTACCTCTCATACACTGGTACACTGGAGCGCCACACTGCCTACTCCTCCCTCTCAGCACTTTTGGAGCACCTTGATGCTGCTGATTCGTGCTTCATCCCTACTCCTCTCCCTCCTTCCCAGAGCTGGAACAGCTGATTTGTGGTGTTCAAACATGGTCCAGGAATTTCTGGGTGAGTTTCTATGGCCTGTGTTATCCAGGCAGCTAGAACAAATGATCACAAGGTGGTCTCTTTCGCTTGAAAAATCTATGAATCTATCAATCAAATTTTAAATGTGATTTTTAACTTGACAGCATGCCTTTATCTCATTTTTTCCTTTCTTATATCTGTTGGCAAAACTTGTGCCCTTCCTTGGATTTATTTCCTAAAATAAATATCCCAATGTTCTTCTGCTTAAAAAACAGATGCTGTCGAATATTCACTGGTAATCCCACAATAAAAACCCAATGTATGCACCCAAAAGAGGTAGACACATTAAAGGAAAACAGATTTCAATAGCTGTATATAGTCTACAACAGATGCATTTTGATCATCACTTAAACACATTTTGAATATGCTCATCATCACAGTCTCTGTTACAAGAAGAAATACGTGGGTATTTCATATACAATTGATTTTATTAGTATACAGCATATATTTAATTTTAACAGTAAAGTATAATGCATGTAACACACTATTTTTATATGAATATTAGATTAGCACCAGTCCAGCTATTTAAATAAGGTAGAACCACTGTACTGAGAGACCCATATCCATAATTCTCTCTAGTATTTAGAAAGAATGAACATGAATCAAAATGTAAATAATCTTCACAGATGCAGTGCCCACTAGAGGGAATTGAAACATTCTCTTCTGGATTTCTGTTTCCAAATTAATATTTTAAAATGGCAAACTTGATCTGTATAAAATTTATTATATACCGATTAACATAAATTCAATAAAACAGGTTCTTCCCCAAGGAATGATTTTTTTCATTGAACTTTTATGCACATTTTTTTTACATTTGTGAAAGGTGCTGGCTGGACAGTTGGGGCAAATTAAATCCTCTGTTTACTCACAGAATAGGTGTAGTCTGGCGAGACTAGTAATTTATCTTCCACACTCATTCAGTTTTAGACCTTTGCATCGGACTCTCAGAACTTTTGGTGACAAGTTTGTCCTCTGAGACCTGAACAACCTCATACCCTATAATCTTTAAGAGAATCAAATCCACAAGCCACTGAAGTCAATGAAAACAACTGCAGTGATTTCAGTGGGCTTTGGATCAGGCCCATAGTTCATTGAACATCCTTGAGATGGTGTCTTTCTGTCACTTCTCACATGGGAATATATTCAAACCAGTGACTGATGGAAACATGCTATATCCCTCCCACTATCAATCCCTTGAGCCATCCAGTCTTCTCATTAACTTGCTTTGCATTCATTACATTCTTTGAACCTGGAAATACAAAGGTATTCAATTCTATCCTTGAATTTAGGGAAAGCCCAAAGAACATTCAGATACTATGAAATGATTAACACGGTTCATATATCTAAACATTCAAAATACTCTGCAAACAAGATTTTTAGTTGAATTATTGTATGGGAAACAAATCTAATGAGGCTTTTAAGCATACATAGTTTGAACAGTTGATTGAGCCATATTAAAATCCTCTTCAATAACGGTAAATAAGGCTGGTTTAAATGAGAGTATGACAAACATAAGGATATATCCTCCCCTACTCATGCACAACTCCCTTTGAGATTGCTGGAGGAGGAGGGGGAGCTTGCCTGTATAAGGATGGCAGGATTTGACCCATGGTCTTTGTCCTCTCTTGGATTTCAGCATAACTGTACAATATCATCTCTCCTGGTCCAAAGCCTTAAGATTAGCAGAGGGAACTAAGTGGGATGGGTGATGGAATTTACATACACGGATGCATACAAAACCACAGAAAAAGAAGCAAGGTTGCTGGCACAGTCTTCTGCACAAGTTATTGCCATCTTTACTACTACCCTTCTGTTCTCCCAAGGTGGTGATAGATGAGGTGATTAAATTTGGTCATGCATGGCCTGCTTCTGCCTGGCTCAACAGCCCCATCCACGTTGTCTTATTCCAAGATGGAACAGATTTCCCCTCCTCTGAATTCTGAGGTGCAGATGCTCTCTGAGGGTATGTCTACACTGTGGTGCTATTTCGGGATACTTCCGGTATCCTGAAATAGCTATTCCATGTCTTGAAAGTGTGCCCATTATTTCAAAATATATTTCAAAATAATGGGTGTGCTGTTCCAATTTCCCTCTAAACCTCATTCCATGAGGATTAAGGGATGTTTCGGAATAGCGGTTTATTTCGAAATCACATCGAAATAAACTACGCAAATTGCATAGCTTATTTCAAGGTAAGGATGCTGTGCAGATGCACCCTGAGAAGTTACTCATCTATTCCCCTTTCCTCCCCATGGCCATATTGGGGAGTTTAAATGGTAGGCCTTCTATAGGTCTTCCATGCTTGAGTGACTTATCCTCTCACTGTACTGCTTTATTCACCTCAGATGTCCTTTGGGGTATGTCTACACTACAAAGTTAATTCGAACTAACAGCCGTTAGTTCAAATTAACTTTAATAGGCTCTACACATGCAAACCGCTAGTTCGAACTTAATTCGAACTAGCGGAGCGCTTAATTCGAACTAGGTAAACCTCATTCTACGAGGACTAACGCCTAGTTCGAATTAAGTAGTTCGAATTAAGGGCTGTGTAGCCACTTAATTCGAACTAGTGGGAGGCTAGCCCTCCCCAGCTTGCCCTGGTGGCCACTCTGGGCACCACCAGGGAAACTCTTCTGCCCCC